ATAGTCCCGCACATCGTGTTCCTCGATAGTCCCGAACATCGTGTACCTCGATAGTTCCGCATATAAAGTCCCTCGATAGCCCCGCACATCGTGCCCCTCGATAGTCCCGCGCATCATGTCTCTCGATTGTCCCGCACATCATGTTCCTCGATGGTTCTGCACATCGTGCCCCTCGATAGTCCCGCATATCGTGTTCCTCGATAGTTCCGCATATAATGTCCTTCGATAGCCCTGCACATCGTGTCCCTCGATAGTCCCGCGCATCATGTCTCTCGATAGTCCCGCACATCATATCTCTCGATTGTCCCGCATCATGTCTCTCGATTGTCCCGCACATCATGTTCCCGATAGTTCTACACATCGTGCCCCTCGATAGTCCCGCATATCGTGTCCCTCGATAGTTCCGCATATAATGTCCTTCGATAGGCCCGCGCATCATGTCTCTCGATGTCCCGCCCATCATGTCTCTCGATTGTCCCGCACATCATGTCTCTCGATTGTCCCGCACATCATGTCTCTCGATTGTCCCGCACATCATGTTCCTCGATAGTTCCGCACATCGTGTCCCTCAATAGTCCCGCACATCATGTCCCTCGGTTGTCTCGCACATCATGTCCTTCGGTTGTCCCGCACATCATGTCCCTCGGTTGTCCCGCACATCATGTCCCTCGGTCGTCCCGCACATCATGTCCCTCGGTTGTCCTGCACATCATGTCCCTCGGTTGTCCTGCACATCATGTCCCTCGGTTGTCCCGCACATCATGTCCCTCGGTTGTCCTGCACATCATGTCCCTCGGTTGTCCCGCACATCATGTCCCTCGGTTGTCCCGCACATCATGTCCCTCGGTTGTCCCGCACATCATGTCCCTCGGTTTCCCGCACATCATGTCCCTCGGTTGTCCCGCATATCATGTCCCTCGGTTGTCCCGCACATCATGTCCCTCGGTTGTCCGCACATCATGTCCCTCGGTTGTCCCGCACATCATGTCCCTCGGTTGTCCCGCACATCATGTCCCTCGGTTGTCCTGCACATCATGTCCCTCGGTTGTCCCACGCATCGCGTTTCCCCTGGGCGTAAGGGGCGTACTGGACACGCGAGACAATGCGTTTGTTCCATGACTCCGCAATATGGACGGGTTTCACGCCAACTATGCATCCAATGGACAAGTAACTGGTGATATAGCAGGCTCAGAATTGGCTGCCACAGATGAATTCGGTGTTCGTATTTCAGGTACGTACTTCATCCTCTACGACTTCATACAGTTCTTCAAAAAGGACGACCCAAGCTTCCTGGAGAGGTCCAAGTTTTTGGAAATTATTGAAGCCATCTTTGGGTCTTGGGAGGAAATGGAGAAGCTGGCCATTATATTCCAGGTGAGTGTATAACATTAGCAGCTGCTCGTTCTAAGAGCGTCCTGACACCGGGCGACGAGACCGAGGGCAAATTCAATTATGCTGCGGTGGTACATGCATGTCCGCATTGTATAATATGAGACAGGCGAGAAGCAAACGCATATAACACAGAAAGGCAGCCCAACAAGTTAGCAGACTTACATACCATGTGTGTGTCCATCATGCCGTTGCCATCATGCCGTCCGTGCTAAGCCGTGATTGTCGCGTGAGCTCCATCCTCACCATCCGGTCTTGAAATTCCACGTCAACGGTAGAATTTCGCCGCGAAAACTTAACGTGTCGTGAGATTCGGTGCGGTCCGTCCTGCCCGCTGATGTCTCCTGACCTTTAGCGCGACCTCTGCCACCGGCTGCAGATTACTCCAATGAGGGGTAAATGGCAGGCGTCTGGGGCCGCTTGAGCCGCCTCGCCACGGTCAGTTGACGAAAGCGCACTATCTCATTTGACTGGGAATGTATCATCAAAGCCATAGTCGATCACGAATTCTGCTTGCTTGCAGTACACCGATTGGGACCATATTGACGACGGATATCTCAACCAGAAGATGCTGGGAGATGTGGTTGGGGACTACTACTTTGTGTGCCCCACGAACTACTTCGCGCAGTCTTTCGCTGCACAGGGCATGAATGTCTACTACTACTTTTTCACGCAGGTAAGTGGATTGCAGACGCGGTCAGTTCTGTACTTTTCACTTATTATTAGGTTGAACGCGTCTGATTGGATCGGTAATATCAGCTTCTCGAAATCCACTTGTGGCTCAGAATTTCGTTTGGAATTAGCCGCTCCTGCGGGAGAAATATTACTGGACTCTGCTCACCACTATGAAGGTCATATATTTCATTTACCTTGCTTTTTCCATCGTGTGCTCTGTAGTGTTTCTAACACACTAATCTGTCAAAAAGTGTTGACACCGTAATTTGTACCCATAACTGATTAAAATTAGCATTCTGGATGCGTCTCGACAGTTCTACAATGATACTACCAAATGTTATCATTAGACGTAGCTGGTTCTGAGTTTTCTCACCAGCGTATGCTTTTGAATTTCCCCAAAGGTAAGACACTACATTTCAAGTCGTGTGCAGTAAGCTTCCGTAGACGTTACACGAGTTCGTGTTTGTTTAAAGGGAGTGGTCCACATTTGCATGGGTTTTGACCTGAAATAGTAAACTTGACATAATCAAACAATGACGCATTTAGGAGCATATTTACTAAACAAAGAAATCAGAGGTCTGGAGCAGTCTTTTCCACTTAAAGTCTATCAATAAGTGGACTTATTTCATCATGCCTGATGCTTGCCTCGGTTTATTCAAATGCGTGACACTGCCGTTAAGAGAATGACGCAGCGCCGGCGGAAGCCCTGAGTTGTGATTCGATTCGCATTTGCCGGTTTATATATCGGCATGACGTTTTCTCCCCTCGCTGCAGACATGACGGACAGCGTTGTGCTCTAGAGAACTTGGCTGCGTTTTGTCTTATAAGACAATCTCACGTCTGGCGGCAACATGGCAACACACGCATCTGATTATCATTGTAGAATGTTCTGACTTCTGAATATAGCGGCAAGGGAGTGATCCAGCTGATGTTGAGCGCGCCACTGCATTCCTGCTGGCCAGACGCGTGCATGCGCTGTGCTTACAACACCCGAGTGAGAGCGAGGAACGAGTTATTAACGCTACCCCGCCGCCTCCCTCGGACATGGCTTTAGGCTAACTGAGACAGTAAAAAAGCGGTACCGTCTAAACGATTGGCCATAAATGATATTTGGGTTGCATGCTGTGCGTATGCCGCCATGTTGCAACAAGCATCATATGGTATCAATGTTGAGAGGAAGAGAGAACACAAATACGTTGTGAGCCTCAAAGGCACGGACATGCTCGTCTTGACATGCGGCTTGGTTCGGGGACTGGTCTGCGTGACAGGTGTGTGTCCTGCACAGTTTCGCTTTTAAAACACACTCACAAAAACACTCTCAGAAGTTGTTATATGATTGAGCTTAACACCGGCCGCTCAAATGTGGCGCGCAGCACAGCGACCCACGGGTGGGCTCTGGGAGTATGTCGAATCGCCCCTCTCGCGTGACTCCGGAGGCCCTGCGCTGGTTCGCCATGAGGGGGCCTTAACAAACGGCAGGTTTACTCGCCATTCTTTACCTTCCGCTGAGTTCCAGAAGCGGTGAGGTGTCGCGCCCTGTCGCATAAGGTAACAACCCACCTCATTCGCCACCCAAACCGCACATGACCGTCGCGGCTTCCGGCATCAGACGTACCGCGCTGCCGTGTCACCCGGTGCGGCGCGCGCCCGCCGCGTGCCGCACGTGCCGTGGCGGGCCGGCACGCGTTGGACGCCGCGTGCCGTGACTGCAGCCGCGTGTTGCAGCGCACCTCGCTGAACCCGTGGGGAGACTGGATGGGCGTGATGCACGGCGACGAGATTGACTACGTGCTCGGCAACCCCATCAACCAGAGCCTGCACTACACGGCGGCCGAGGCCAACCTCAGCCGACGCATCATAGAGCACTACGCCAACTTCATCCGCACGGGGTAAGCCGCGTCACGCTCGCTCCGGGTGCGTCACGCGGTTGGCTCGGGTTGCGTCACGCAACTGGGAGGCGCCCCATGACGTGGAGAGCGGCCTCGCCTGGTAGGCGTGGCCCGCCGAGTTAGTGAACGAGGGCAGGGAACCGGGGGGAGACTTTTGGCGTCTCACTGGGCTTGTCGGCGGCGCGGGTCTGGAGTCAGCGGTCGGTAAGAAATGTCTGGTGCAGTTGTTCTTCAGGACATGAGGGAGAACGCGGCTCGGGATAAGCCGGAATGATACGGGCGCGCTATGTTCATAAGTTGCATGCTTTTCCAGATCCACCGACCCTATGCGATATCAGCCGGGATATGTGTTGTGCAAATTAGTCATGGCTGTTTTGTGGGTCGCAGGCATACACAGTAGCGGGTGCGCTTCAGCGTCCCATTTTGCTTGCATCTGCGGCTGTTTAACGACAGCCAAGAGATGACAGCGCCTACTTGCGACGCAGTACTTGCCTCCGATGTGCTGCCAGATTTGGCAAACAAGTGGTTGTGATCACGACGGGAAGGGAAAACTTTGTTGCACCCGTTAGTTAAACAGATATTGAGGTTAAAACCACCGCACATTCCAGAAAGCATCTAGGTAACAATCAGCGTGGGTTTCAACATGCAACGGGACGCTGATCAGCGCAAGCATGGACAGCTTGGATAATCAGGTTTACCTAACTAATCCAGCTACTATAAAAGCTTAAAGCACGCACTGTACGTCAGCGCGGTTGCAAATCAATGCTGATTGGCTGGGGTGTGGTTACTATGCCGACGTCAAGTGGTTGCCGAACAGGCTTGGGGCTCTTTGCGTGGCGAGCAGGCGGGAACCTCACCACATAACATAAATCCGACGACGCCTTGAGTAACTTGGCGCACGTCACACGGCCGCCGCTCTGTCCGCCTGATACGTGAGTGTTACAAAGTTACGAATGTTAGCTGAGATTCACTTCATATTGATGCGACACCAGCCGACAATAAGATTAACGGTGCCTGCTTGTGCAGTGAAATATGCTCCCAAATGCACATCCCTCACTTAGACCGTCTTTACTGTTTGCATTTTTAACATTCCAGGTGTACAGGGGCTTAAAATTGAGGGAACATGATGTTCAACTCGCTGCGCAGTATGCAGCTGCAAAAGAGCCACCGCAGATGCCTGAGGCACGCTATCTGTCACCAGACCAACCACTGGCGGCTCACTCAGAGCAGGTGCACATTACATATAACGATGAGCTTGATTACAAGTACCGTATCAGTGTCTGCGACTAGTTAATCTACATGTGGGTAGCTGAGTTCACGTACCGTGGCAAGGACATCACAAATTTCAATCACACAATCACACAACTTCATCAAATTTCTAATTCGATTCAAACTGGTTTCCCAACTTTAATGAATATATTTAGGCATGCATGCATGCGTAGCTACGCACATGTATATTATCGTTCGCGGGTCCAATGGGTCCCGTCCTTATGCATACACGCAAGCGGTGCTGCTCCACTCGGTCCACACGGAAGAACACCGAGGAAACTTCAGGCAGTCAGTTTTAAAACTTGTCTAGATAGTGGTTAGCCCAAAGTGATAAGGAGTGCAGGAGGTTTCTGCTACGTACGGACTTTGCGCCTTGCGCTTATCACACGCCCGGGGCGATGCTAGTAATTCTTACTATCTGGCCAGATTCCGCTAAAACATTAGCGGAATCCGGGGTAGCGCTATTCTCCTCTAACTTGTCAGGATTGCTGCCTGCCCATTGCACATATTATTCCACGAAAATTTGTCGGTTCCGGCTTATGATCCTTGGTTAGATGAATGTGCCGTGAGATCATCTTCGTGCACATACATAGATCATCGCCTTAATTTAACAGATCCTCGTCAACTTAAGTTTTAATAGATCCGTATTCCGATTTCGTCGTCACAGCACAAAAAAAACAGCTTCATTGAATTTAAAAAGAACTGGTGTTTACTACCTCACCATGCCAATTCAGGTCCAGAATCCAGTCAAGAAAAATCCGAAATCGGTAAAGTCAAGTATGATTCAAGCGACCTTATTTGGACCTGACTGCAGACCAGGACTGATTCGATTCTTGCTCCTTGAATCCGTATGATTCAGCATTCACTCGCAAGGAGCTCAGTAAAGGCATGACGGTTTTAGACATTGTTTACGATTAGTCGACAGACAATTCAGCTGTCATAACAACTAATGGTTCATCAAACTTCAGGCATGCCGATATTTGTAGAATGTCGAACATTGCTTGGAGTAGATTGGCTTACACACATTTGGCGAATTATTTTCCAAATGTTTGCAGGGTTTTTAAAAATGCCATGAGTGCAAGATAATGAATGTGTTTCCGTCCAAACTACATCGGCCTCCACTCCACCTATTCCTTTTCAGAAAATTTGCATGCTTTGTCTACAGATCAAGAAGGCACAAACTGAAAATATATGGTATCAGCCTACCTATTTTGATCATTCTTTATCTTCCTGCAGCTGACCGGCGCGTTTGATAGCAATTGGCATTACAATATCCTGATGCTAAAGTATAATTGTACAGTCTCTCCTCGGCGCATGCATGTGCCGCTGTAGGTGGGGTCGTCGCCGTGCTCCCAACAAAACCTTAGCTGGTCTGAAGGCTGCTAAGCGCAGCGCAGCCAGTGACAGTGGCCTGACCTAAGTATGGTTCAGAGCAACCGCCCAAAGCCGCCCCTTTCCCCTGACGACGCTGAGCGTCCGCACGCCTGTTTAGTGGGCGCTACCCAGAAAGGTTGGCCAAGACAAAAGTGGAGTGGATGTATGACAAAGAGAGAAACGACATGAAGACATGGATGGTGTTGCTGGCTGGCTCCCTGGGACTTGGGTGCCCGCGCGACAGTCGACTTCTGGTTACGACGGCACAGCTAAACGCAATGCAGCCCCACTTTGCAACGATTGTGAAACAATGCCCCGCGCTAATGAGCGGCCATCTGAATGGAAGGATCTGTAAACTGCCGTTTTGGGACTGTGAATTCGATGTAGGTGCCCGCCGTCTTTATGCGACCATGGCATTCCACAACCGATTGTTCAAGCCGCGGCCAGTGCACATAAATGAGGATGTTCTCACGAATATGTGGGGTTATATTTAGACATCGAGACGCTACGAATGACTTTCACGTAGTCTTTTAATTTTGACGGCTTCCCCAGCCAATAATTATGGTGATCACATTGACACTATAATTAACAAACAGTTGCTACCTAATCGCAGTCGCCCCACTAGCCAAATTGCCCATAAGTTCAGTTTTTACGGTTTTATACCCTATCGTCGCGGATCCTTATGTCGTGTCATTCTTTATTTTGATAATGCCAGGTAAAATGCAAGTGACGGGAATACGTGAGCTCTTGCTCGAAAGTTTCGGCTCTGTCGTGCACATGAGAGCAGGTCAGACAGAAGGCCTGTGAGGAGTTGGCAAACCCTCCAGCTGAGTTTGTGGAGGATCTCGTCTAAGATTATGTCCCCAGAGAACGAAAAGCCACACACGGACATGTACCTATGCACATGTTCACGGGCATGTACCTATGGACATGAACCCCAAAAGAGCCCAAGATCAGTTTCCAGGATTTCGTAAACACGGAACTCTGTGGGTTTTCGCATCTAGCCACAGGTCTAGATCAGTCTGTCCCCAAGTAAAGTGTAAACAACCGTGTGCATTGCATCATGAGACATGAGGGCGTGACACGTGCGTTTTCGGAAAATGATCTGCCAAGTTTTGTTTGCTGACAGCCGTTGGGTTGGGTGGGTTGGGTACAAGAAACCTCACCCGTGAAGACCTCTACCGCAGAGCGGGGTGGTCTGACGTCACAGCGTGACCTCTGCCCCGCAGGAGCCCCGTCCGTGAGGGCGTCAGCTGGCCAATATACTCCCGAAACCAGCCGCAGTACTACATCTTCGACGGACGCGTGCGGGGGCTGGGCAACGGGGCCGCGCGCCACCGGCTGCGCATTCTGGGAACGAGATGATGCCCAGCCTGCGGGAGACGCTGCAGCGGCCCCAGCCCGGCGCGGTACGTCCCGACTGCCGGCGGCGCCGACGGCCGCTGGCGGCGGTGTGCCTCCGGTCGGATGTAGTGCCTGCCACCTGTCTGGAGTGTGTGCTGTGTGTGGTTTGGGGCACCACCTGCAGGGGGAGAAAGGCAACGCTCATGGTTGGATCAAAGAATCAGTGACGTCACCTTCGCAAGAGAGCTTATGAAGAGATGGGGCCAACAAACCTCTGAACACCATGTAGCCTTAGGGGAGGGTTGATAAGCAAATTTGAGCCATCGAAGGTGGTCGACACCATCTGGACGTACGCTGTCATAAGCCCGCAGGTCAATCACACTCAGAAAACATCTTTAAGTCCTCCCGCCGTAGCGTAGTCAGATCCCGTGTTTCGCGTACTTCCAGCGGCATTAATGAGAATCTCACCACACGATTCCACTATTGACAGTATACAGTGACCAGTGCGGAGCGGGCATCAGATGCTGCCTTTTGAGAAGTGAGGCGCTTAACGTCAGCTCTACACTACAGCTGCAGCGATTGTTTCCTGTACTTGAGAACTTGTGTGCGGGCTCGCTGGCAGTTGGAGATGGATGAATCGCGAGCCGTCCTGCCTCGTCTTGTCACGTGACGTGTCTGAGCCGCGCGCACCCACAGGACTACTGCGGCGTCGGCCCTCCGCGGGGGAGGCGGCGCTCTCCGCCTGGTGGGCCGTGCCCTGGATCGTCAGTCTCATCACCTTCATGGCCTGATGCCGGCGACTGGCTGCCCCTTCCGTCGTGCCCTCGGCCTCCTCCGCGGCCGCGGGCACCTGCCCCCGCAGCTGCGCGGCACTGGGAGTTCAGCGCTCGACGTGGCCGGGAGTGGCAGCTGCTGCCGGCGTCGGCAAGCCGTCTCCTGGCAGCAGCTGTCGGTGTGTGGTGACGCCCCCTGCCGGGTTGTCTCACGCCACTGGCTCTGGGAATGAAGACACTGCCTCCACCAAATATGGCAAAGACTTCAACATTGCCTCTGAGCGTGGAGCACTCGGTTTCACCCAGCAATCCCGCCAGTGATGCATCTCGTACCCCAGCAGCTCTTCGCCAGTGTGGTTTCAGTGTTGTACAGCAGAGTCTCCACCCCCACCCCCTCCCACCCCCACCACCAGCGTAGTGTCACTCATGTGCCCCAGCAGTTGCAAATCAGTGGGTATGTACATACCTGGCCATTTTCTGACAGCCCCGCCAGCGTGGTGTATTTCAATACGCAGGTAGAAGAGTGGTGAGCATCATTACGTTCCAGTACCCACCAACTAGCGTGGTACACCTCACTGCACCACACAACCACACCGTACCCCAACGAACCATAGAAGACCAGAGAAACGTTATGTACCTTGCTGTATCCAGCAAATCACGATGTACCCCAGAAGCGCCCACTTGTACAGCGTACCTGGACGTACTACACCCTATAGGCCCCAGCAACGTTTCGTGCCTCATTTACCCCAGGAGCCCCTCCCCATCCCCCCCCCCCCCCAGTGTGGGTGCAGCTTACTTCAGCCCACTAGTGTGGTGTCTCTCACTGTGGAACGGAGGTCTGTAACAGTGCGGTCTCTCAGTTTGATCTCAATGTATCTAGGAGCAGACACCAGCGCGGTGTACCTTATCGTACCCCAGGAGCTGTCTGCCATTGTGGTGAACCTCATCATAACCCAGAAGCTTCCTGTAATTCTCGTGTCTGTCATCGCACCCCAGAGCCTTTCTGTCATTGCAGCGTACTTCGCAGTGCGCTGAAGACTTAGGGGTTTGGTGTTTCTCATTGTGTCTCAACAGTCTCCAGTCGGGATTAAGTACCCGACTGTACCTAAGATTACACACTGTACCCCAGAACACACACTGTGCCCAACACGCCCCAAGAGGCTGCAGCAACATGTTACCTCACCCTACCAGAGCAGACTACATGGCGCTCCTGCACCATCAGCAGCATGGTTTGCAACACTGCGCATCACTGTATCCTGAGCTGTCCGTCAGCACGATGGGCTTCGGCTACCCCAAGAGCTCCCAGTAGCGCGGGTGAGCTTCACTGCACCCAAGACCCACCAGTATGTTGCATTTCACTGGAGTTCTGAAGCCCACGTCGGTGTGTCTGGCCTCGCCGTACCTCGGAAGCCTCAGCCAGCGTGGTGTGGCTCACTGCATCCCAGCAGCTTCCCGCTACTGTGATGCAGCAGCAGCAGCGCCTGCACCGGCGTGGTGCGCCTCACTGTACTCCATCACCCTCACGTCAGCGGGTTGTACCGCATTATAAGATGGCCTACCCGGCAGGTGAGCCTCACAGTGATCCAGAGGCCGCGCTAGGACGGCGTGCTCCCAATGTGTGACGTGCGTCACGGGCACACCAGCACGATGTGCCAAGCTGTGCTCCAGCAGCCCCATGGGCGCAGTGGGTCAAACTGTCCCAGTAGCCCTACCGACGTAGTAAGTCAAACTGTGCCCCAGCAGCCACATGGGACCAGTGAATCAACTGTGCCCCAGCAGCCTCGCCGACCTAGTAAGGCGAACTGTGCGCCAGCAGTACTACCAGCCTAGTAAGACAACCTGCGCCCCAGTAGCCCTACTGGCCTAGTAAGTCAAATTGTGCCCCAGCAGCCCAATGGGCCCAGTGCATCAAACTGTTCCCCAGCAGCCCCGCCGACCTAGTAAGCCAAACTGTGCCTCAGTAGCCCTACCAGCCTAGTAAGCCAAACTGTGCCCCAGGAGCCCCTACCAGCGTAGTGTACCAAACTGCATCCCAGCAATCCCCGCTTTACCCCGCTGCACCCGAGAGTCTTCGCCGGCGTGGTGTGCCTCCTTGCACGCAGCAGCCCAGACCAGCGTGGCCCGCCGTCCAGTCCCCCGCCGGCAGCCTCGCGCAGATCGCTGAGACCGTTCCGTCACCGGACGCGGCCGGAGAAGCGCGGCAGGCCTGTGGTTGACGCCGCCCAGCCCGTTGTTAGCTCTTGTTACGCAGGGATGACGCGTGCGACCGGGAGCGCGGCGCGGGCATAATGGCGCCGAACGAGCTCACGGATCAGCGCTGGGGGAGCCTCTCGCCCGTCCGCCACCTCTGGCGGCCAGAATGCGACGCGCACGGGCGCATCAAACGGGCATGCATTCAGTGAGTAGACTCAAAAGGTCCGCAATGTATGCACCAAACACCGCTCAATGGAAGCTACAGCGTCTCAGTGCGGCGCGCCTCTGACATATGCTCTAAATGATGCAACAACTCGCCGTTGTGAAGTCCTCATGAAGCACCCCATTACCCCGCTCTCTCCGCCAATTCTTACTAGCCGCGGGAGATAAGTCATTAAGGGAGAAGTTGTGCCAAGGAAACGAGGCCTGATGCGTTGGAAGTAGAGCCGCCGGCACATCGCCGAGGGAAGAGCTGCAGGGCCGATAGAGCGTCGACATGACCCGGAGAGAGCTGCAAGGTTGGTAGAGCGTTAGCATGACCCGAAAGAGAGCTGCAAGGTCGGTGGAGCGTCGACATGACCCGAAAAAGAGCTGCAAGGTCGGTAAAGCGTCGACATGACACAGGAGGGAGCTGCAGGGTCGGTTGGAGCGTCGACATGACCCAAAGGAGAGCTGCGGGGTCGGTGTAGCGTCGACATGACCCAAAAGAGAGCTGCGGGTCGGTAGAGCGTCGCCATGACCCGAGGAGAGAGCTGCAGGGTCGGTGTAGCGTCGACATGACCCGGGAGAGAGCTGCAGGGTCGGTGTAGCGTCGACATGACCCGGGAGAGAGCTGCAGGTCGGGTCGGGGAGCGTCGACATGACCCAAAAGAGAGCTGCAGGGTCGGTGTAGCGTCGACATGACCCGGGAGAGAGCTGCAGGGTCGGTGGAGCGTCGACATGACCCGGGAGAGAGCTGCAGGGTCGGTGTAGCGTCGACATGACCCGGGAGAGAGCTGCAGGGTCGGTGTAGCGTCGACATGACCCGGGAGAGAGCTGCAGGGTCGGTGTAGGTCGACATGACCCGGGAGAGAGCTGCAGGGTCGGTGGAGTGTCGACATGACCCGGGAGAGAGCTGCAGGGTCGGTGGAGTGTCGACATGACCCGGGAGAGAGCTGCAGGGTCGGTGTAGCGTCGACATGACCCGGGAGAGAGCTGCAGGGTCGGGTGGAGCGTCGACATGACCCGGGAGAGAGCTGCAGGGTTGGTGGAGCGTCGACATGACCCAAAAGAGAGCTGCAGGGTCGGTGTAGCGTCGACATGACCCGGGAGAGAGCTGCAGGGTCGGTGGAGCGTCGCCATGACCCGGGAGAGAGCTGCAGGGTCGGTGTAGCGTCGACATGACCCGGGAGAGAGCTGCAGGGTCGGTGTAGCGTCGACATGACCCGGGAGAGAGCTGCAGGGTTGGTGGAGCGTCGACATGACCAAAGAGAGCTGCAGGGTCGGTGGAGCGTCGACATGACCCGGGAGGGAAGCTACAGAGCCGGCAAGGCGCATCAGACCGGTAGCCCGGCTGCCACTCTTGTTCCAGATGAGTATGGGGTGCAGGCCGGTGCGTACAATGCGCTTTAAGAGCAGCGTCTTGCTAGCTAGCCGTCTATTCCTCCGCCACGACAGCGAAAGATGCTCTGTGGGTGACAGGTTCGCTGCGTGCCATGCGACGGGCATGCTGGTCAGTACTGAGTTATCTAGTTTATTAGCGCAGGCCACTCACGAATTACAACATTTTGATATGTGGTCATTATATCAACATTGATCAGTAATGAGGAGCCTAATGTAGGGAGCAGAAAGTCTTATCAACATTTATTTATCTCATTATAATGTCACCCAGAGTCGGATTTTCCTTCACTTGGTGCACGCTCTCAACCGTCCCTTATCACCGGTTCATCAGCCTGGTAAATTTATCGATCGATCCAATTGCATGCATTCTAACAGGCGAGTGTGTGTATTTTTGCATCGGTTATTCATCTAAAAAGATGTTCGACCTGGGGTTTGAAAATGGCAGGTGATCCTGTG